AAATACCATCTACTTTTATTTGCCCAACTCACTAAATGATCTAAATCCTTTTGTAAATCAGCAGCATCGTCTTCACATCTAGCAACACCCAAGACCTTAACATCATCTGCAAATTTAAGCAATTTATTGACTATTCTTTCATCTATGTCATTGATGTAAATCAAAAAGAGTAAAGGTCCTAAGACTGAGCTCTGAGGTACACCACTTGTGATATTAATCCAGGTTGACTGAACTCCATTTGTAACAACCCTCTGCTTTCTTCCATCCAGCCACTCTTCTGTCCAATTTGCTAACTTATCCCTCACACATGTAGAGCTAATTTTTTACAAGCCTTTTATGTGGCACCTTGTCAAATACTTTCTGAAAATCCAGTTACACCAAATCTACATCTTTACCCTCATCTACATAAACAGTAACCTTTCCAAAAAATGTTAAAAGATTTGTAAGGCAAGTTTTTCCCTTAGTGAAACCATGTTGACGATCCAATAAAATTCTAAACTTTGTTAAATGACTATGCAAAGCATCTTTTAAGAGACTTTCCAAAATATTTCCTACAACTGATGTAAAATGCAGAAGAAATTTTTACAATTAAATGGTAATAATTAATATCATTTCAGAAGTAAGGAATTTGAATTAAGTAAAATGCAGAATCTTTAGGTCTATACTTGTTAAAAACAAACAAAAAACTAGTTTTATTCTTTATATTGTTCTTTCTCTTTCAGGGTCAGACAGCTTTTGCCAAACAGTTGCTGAGTAAAGCAGTGGACATTTCCCAGCAGTCTGTATTCTGGCATTGTCGGCTACTTTTTCAACTTGCAGTAAGTTTGAATTATTTCATTTTAGGGAAAATACATAATTCATATATGTTTCTCTCCCATTGAAATGTGTTTGGTAGTCACTGTTTTGTTTCATACCTGTTACTTAAGGTAAGCTGCTAATTTGTACTGAAGCACATCTGACCACTTGTTTCTCTAAATTAGCATCTAGTTGCATGTGTGTTGTATTCAATTGTCATGTTTATTCCTCATCACCTACATGTTTCATTGTAATATACCTAGATAATTATTTATCCCAGGTTAACTTGTGGAGTATCTGACAAATTATTGTGTGTCAGTATTTAACTGATTTATATCACCCAAGTACTTGTTTCTCTCAGATTAACTTTGGTTTATTTATGAACAGCCTTATCACTGTTTTAACACATGAAGTACATTTGTGACCTTACTGTACTGGTGATTTAAAATTACCAGAAACTTTAAAAAATATAATATTACATATGGTAATTTATAATGTTTTGGATATTCTTGTATCTGTAGAAAGATTTATATTAAAGTTATTTTAAATAGAAATAATTATTTGTAATCTAGCTCTTATACCAGATTATTACTGATTTATCAGATCTGTTGATGATTAATTAATTTACAAAAATAACAAACCTTTTTTTTTAATTTCCAGAGTAATACAGTAAGATATTAGATTTAGTACCAATTGAGTTTTAATTTAACAAAATAATCACTTTTCACGTCACTTTCTTAATATAATGATAATAATTCATGGTAAATGTACTAATTTGTGATCTATTTATACCAAACATAAGCCTATTAAAAATTGTTGAATATTATCCAACAGTTTTTAACTAACTTCAATCACAATTACACTAATTTTTAAACAGAAAATAAACAAATTGTTTCTTATTGTTGTTCTTCATCTATATCTCAACATTGTTCCCATTCTTTTCAATTTTATTTTCCTCATCTATGTATGTGTTAGTCTCTTCAGAATATTCATACCCATTTTAAATTGACAAATGGAATTAAAACAAGCCCATTTTTTGCATTTTACATTTAATCTTAGTTCCTCAGGTTGTGTTCTATATGCACCCCATTCACTCCTTGAAGTCTTTTGAACTTTTTTATAGTGCATAATCTGTAAATACTGAAGAATCACTTGGTCACTGTAAAAGATAGAGATGTTGAGAATAGTGGCAACTACCCTGATGAATAGAGACTATCCACAATACATTTCCAAGACACAATAGACAGTTTTTGACTCTGGGTCATCACTCCCACCTTCTAGATATTTCATGAATGAGTTGGCCCTTAGAACTTCTTTGATTCTATACTAAACCAAATCAGACAATTTTTCTCTTTCATTGTCAACATCGGGCATAGTTTTTGCAACTTTACATAAGTGGAATGTCCCATCAACATCCTCATCTAGAGTGAAAGATTGTCTCATATGCAGGGCCTCGAATGTTTGCAACCATGTGAAGTTTTGCATTTTTTTGAGAGCTTCTAAACAAAGATAATGAGTAGTCAAGTAATTAATGTATGTCTCAAGTGCTTCTTAAGGTTATTGAAAACATGAATACTATATATACCTGATTAATAAATAGTGATCCATTCAGTGAGAGATTCTTCTTTTCTAGTTTTAAATATTTACTTGTTTGAATTTAACAGTAGATTAAAAGTTTTGATGTTAACTAAAGACTGTCAGTTCTGACTTACCTTTCACAGATTTACTAATTACTGTGTCTTTTTTTTTTCCCTGACTCTACAGCAAATATATGCCAATGAAAAGGACTATGTATCATCATCAAGTCTTCTTGGTGTGGGTGCTGACTATGCTAATCTATCAGGTGCACAGTACACCCGGATCTTGTTTTTGCTAAGCAAAGGAATGGTAAGTACGAAATTTGTATCTTAGGTTTCTAAGAAAGTTGTCTTTATAACTTTAGATAAATTTAGTTGTTGCTTAGTAAAACATAAATATGGCTCTAAAACAAAAAATAAAATATTTTGTATGCTACACAAAATGTGCCCATAGTTTGAAACAAGTTTTTCAAATAAATAATTATCTGAAGAATACTTAATGGATATGAATACACACTGATGAACTTCTAAAAAAAGTGATCTAGAATTTCTTCAGAAAAAAAACTTGGCTGATGGGGTATGTCAGGCAGTGGTCAAAATCAATATGTAATCTTTGTTGTTATTTCTATGCAGCTTCTGCCTATCACTCTTAACAGTAGATAAAACTTACTGTAGCCCCAGTATATATATATATATATATGTTTATACATTGTTATTCATCAGTGTTAAAGTCTATAAACGAAACATTTACATGCATACATTTCACATATTGTATCTCTGTTACTGAAAATAAGTGCAGTGATTGAGAGCATGTGCATTTTTTGTGCATTCTTTATTTGAAGAAATAAAAGATGCTAATCAAATTGAACCTACATTAAAAAGTATTTTTATATTTGTGTTCAGCTGCTTTACTTCATCTGGTATGAATGCTTGAATTAAGTCTAATGTCAGTGTAGTGTAAAAAAAAAAGAAGATTAAAGACATTTAGGGGGGATCCCAGAAGTGGATGGCTAATAAAATTTAGGGGTCATGTATGATTGAACTGATTTATTTGTATGTTGGTTTATAATGTTTAAGAAGCTGTTTTGCACTCAGTGGTTAGCGGAATTTACCAATCAATTAATTTTTGGATTCAATAATCAATTACTTGTGACTAATCAACTATTCTCACAAGATGTCTAAATAAAACAAAAGTGATTATTTTTACACGAGTTCACTAATAAAAAACTTGTACTGCTACAGCTTTGGTTTTGATACCAACAGTGGGCAGAGCACAAATAGCCCACTGTGTAATTTTGCACTTAACAAACAAACAAACATAATAGCAGTATTTCAGTAATCTAAAACCCTAATTTTGATTAGTTGATTATTTCCGTGAGTTGTGACACTAATAAATTAAGGTGAACAAATTTGAATTAATAAAAAATAATAATGAAGAATCATAATGAAAATATTTTTATTACTGGATAATTGGAATAATGAGAAACACTAATTTTGATTAGTTGATTATTTTAATCAATGTAATTGATGCTCATAGATAATCAAGACAATAGATAATCACTCAGCTCTAGAGATGTTGAAAATAATCTAAAATCATACTGAAGATTGGCAAATTTATTTATTATTACAAGCAACACATCTGATGGAATATTTTCATGCCAGGAAATATGGATAACAATTGAGATTGATATAATTAACGTACAAGGTATTAATGTACTGGCAGATAATAATAATTTTAGAAGGATTCCAGAATGATAAGCAAACTACTGAACTTGGGGGTTTAATTGTCACATGCTGAATTGCATTTTATTTGTAAAATTGGTGATTTGGCAAACAAAAAATTAGAGATCAAATAGACAAATATCAGCCATATGATACCTTTCTCTAAGCACAGATTTTTTATTTCCTTTTTAATATCCATAACCTGACTTAAATGATTCATCCTTTATAATTTGTTGGGAACTATACAGCTTATTTAATACATCAATGATTTTCTATGCATAAAATGTAAGTTTTATCCTGTAGTACTTGACTATAATTATCATGTAATTTTTAATCTCTTGAATAAATTAATTTAGTAGGCACTTATGTCTAGTCTGTTTATCCATTTAATTGGAAAATGCTCTTCGTGACTCAGATTACTTAATACTGCCAGAAGCATGAGATATATTGTAGAAGTACTGAATATTCAATGAATAATGCCCTTGAACAAGTCTAATAAATTCAAGCCTAATCCTGCTCAACCAAAGTTGACCATCTTTTTTAGGATCATGGTAAGGAGAATATAATTAATTTTTAATTAAATTGTTGTTTTAATTTTCCTATTTACATTTGTGATAGTTATTTTTATTCATGAACTACAAATTCGTTTTATTGTCTCTGGAAATTTTATTTTACAGTCTTCAGTATAAAAGTATTGAGAAGTAAAATATGAAATTCATAATTTAATTTGAAATTTTACTTTTAATGAAACCAGATCTGACTAATTATTTTTTATAAAGGACTAATGAATAATGATAGCTAGAGAAACATTTTTTTTTAACTAAATTTTAAATTATGATTATACTTAAGAAAAACAAGTCAAAAAAGCCTCTTAGAATATACCTTTTTCATTTCTTTTGAATGGTTAAAAACCAATTTGGAGAGGATCACTCATCTCTACACACACACAATAACATTCTTCCCTGCCAGTCTGCCCAAGAGATTTATTTGCATGCCACTAGCCTTGAGTCAACTCCCATCTAATATAATGTTAACTGTATAGGAATATGATGACATCATCATGCAACAAAAGTCCTCCACCAATAGGAGAGCAGCACAACCTCCTTGCACAAAGTCATCTTTAAATTTGTTCATCTTCAATTTGAACTAATTAACAGAAATTTGGTTTTGTCATACTTTACACTTTCTTATTATTGCTTCATTTCATTTCTATAAATTCACAAGTTAACTCTACGACTATGGGCTGGGTGGAATCCATCCAGACCATATCCACCAAAGTAACCATGAGAGCAGTTATACTATAACTTTTGATAATCTACACATATCTTCATGAAATTTTGCAATTATTATCAGTAATTGTTACAAGGCTTTCATACACAAAACACCAGATATTTTAATTAAAGATTTGCTCATGAATTTTTTTCTTTTCTAATGTTTACTATCCAACATGCAAAATAATTTTAATTATGACTTTTTTTCATCTGAAAATTGTCAGATTTCATTTGTGAAATCTATGATTTCCTAATAACCTCCAGATAACTATCAAACGTTTTTTTTTTTGAAAATCTTTATATTCTATCTGTTATTTTCTCTCTGTTATTTCTATACGGAATTGGTTGACTTGACTGACCTCATAACTACCATAACAAATTAGGAAATAGATCTAAATTACACTTTTTTTTGTTCTAGGTTGAATGCAAATTGTAACAGGAAACCACAATTGTTTATTCTAAATAGCTCAAATCTCATAATAGTATACATCTATTTATATTTATTTTATTTTTTGCTTTATTGACCTTTGAACAGTTTTTGACTAACAATAGTGCCACTGAAGTTGTAAATCACGTGGTGCACATACAGCTCATGTTACAGTATCAAATAGAATAAAACTGGCCTTAGTTTTGTACTAGCACACCTATCACATTTTGGTTATCGTACATTACGTATGTATCCATATTATTATTATTTACAAATAAATTTTTAAGTTTCAGTTATTTTATTTATAACATGGAACAGTAAATAAAAAATATAGAAAACAATGATCTCTACTTATAATGTTACGAAGTTTCTTTGTAGTTTGCTGTTGCCTGCTGTAATTTCCTAAGCCTCGTCCAATAAGGTACTTGGAGGGTGTAAAAAATTGTAGGTTTTATATATGTATTTTGAAATACAAAAATTATGATTTACTGAACTGATATCACATTGGTTATGTTATAACGTTTGTTTGTATAAATACATGTATTTTAGAATTCTTATTGATGATTAGGAGCACTCTCTGAATAATAATTTACAGGTAAAATGTGGTTTATAAAACATTTTTAATGAGGGAAAGATGTGCAAGTACTTTTTTGCATATTCTGTAATTAGGAAATGCTACTTGAATCTTAGTTATGTCTATTTTTCTTAAACATCACATTTAAAAGTTATTCAGCTTCATTGATAGACCTTGTAATTAAGAAGAAAGTGGGTGTAACTTTATCTTTTCACAGCTCCTAATGATTGATAAGAAATTGACTGAAGTCCATCAAGTACTCACACTGGCTGGTCAACTCGTTGAGGCATGGCAGGGATCCACCCAGCAGAAGGAAGCATTGAAAGTTTTTTTTCTAGTTCTTCAAGTGTGCCACTATCTCACTGCTGGTCAGGTAAGCAGTTTAAAATGGTTTCTCACATGAGAGTTTCTGTCATTACTGAGAAAGAAAAAACTTCAGATATGTGTATATACATTCTTGTTTGTGCTTTCATGTTCTGTTTAAAGGTTTCAAAATTAAGATTAGTAGAATATTTATAGCTACAGTTTACAAGATAAAAGTTCAGAATTATGTTTTTATACGTTTGTAAGATTTGTTCATAATATAACTAGGTGAAGAGTGTAAAACCATGTTTAAAGCAACTTCAGCAAGGTATACAGACCATCACTTCTTTACACACTGATGAAGGTAAGTAATACATGTAATTATCATTTATGGACAAAGTGTTGGTGATTAGTTGAAGAAAATATGGTTTAATTTGGAGGTGAAATAAGGCTCATAATTGTTTTCATAGTTCTCTACAAAATTTGAACCATGTTACTAATTGGACATGTTTATATTATATTAATTAAGCTACTCATGTAAATAATGGAAATATTTATGAGGTAATATTGTGTAACTGTAGGAATGATCCTTGTATAATGGATATTAATCAGTTTTAATGTTGTTATTATTGAAACATCTCCACATTTTGAATCTTGACATGTTCTTACATTTTTTATTGTACTTGTTCAATGCTTTCCTGGAATTCATTGAATTAAAAACTTTATTTTTTTTCTGTGTATCAAAATTTTTTAAATCCAAGGAAATATTTTAGTTGAATAAATATTGTTGTTTAAATGATAGATTTCTTTTTTGTGAGTATAAAACACGTAAATTTTTATAATGTTCTGAAGGTATATGGTAGTTTGGGTAATCAATTCCTTCTATATTTTTCAAGGGAATATCACTTACATTTGTTGTAATGATCCTTACAAAGTGTATGTAGAAAATCAGTAATGTGAACACTGTGCTCAACATTGACATCAATTATGATTTGACCTGGCGAAATCTTCACTGTCATAGACTTTTGATAGATTTTCTGACATACCTATGCATTGTTTATAAACTTTTTGTTTGTATGTGTAGTGTTACACATTATTATGAACCAAAGAATAATATATTTTTGTGCTATACATATAGGTATAATATAAAATAAGAATTAACAAGATTTTAGAAAAAATTCCAGTGTCAGTCCTAATTGTCACTCTAAAGTCGTAGCAGATAATGCTGTGAAAATAGCTCCCAAATTCGTTGTGGATATCCCATCTTCCAGACAAAATCCAAACGCTAGCCAGCTGGCTGGTTTCATTTCTACATTAGGAATTATAAGAACTTTTAAGGGTAACTGCTTTCTCACAACTGGCTGCAGACAGTGAAAGACAGTAGGAGTTGAGACGTTGTGGTATAACCCCAACGTGTTTGGGAGCTATTACCACAGGTATTATGCACCATGACATATATATATATGTGTGTGTGTGTAAATATTATTTGACTTTAATTATATCATCACCATCAGTAGATATTGATATTGTTGGTCTTTACTTATTGTTGTAATTCATTAACTTCTTTATTGTTACATTAATATTCATAACTTGTTTATTTTGTAACAATGTATAAACCCTGTAGCTTAATTATTGTATAGTAAACCCTATACTTTTGCCATTGTTTTAACACTGTAAATTTCATTGCCTGTGGGAAATCCACATTTAATTTGTAGACATAAACTACCTGTGTTAGTTAGAGATTTGTAAAATGTTTACCTGCCAGTTTTTAGTGTGTTCTTTGTTTTTGCCAGACATGTATAATGACATGAATGGCTGCAGTAAGAGCAGGGTTGGTGAACTAGTTTTGAGAACAAATAGGTGAATGTTCTTCAGTCATCTTGCTTGTTATTATGTTCCATGTACATATTCTGAATTTAAATTTGTTACTTAATATATCAGAGGGAGGACATAATATAATTTATTATGTTAAATAAATGTCACTGTGATAAGTACTTTCTCAGTATTATTAGACTTTTTTTTACAAAAATTCATCTTATTTCATGAGACCAAAGTTACTAAATTATATGAAAAATGTAAAAACATGTTTTTATTCTAGATAATTACTTTTTTTTTCTGTGACGTTTGTGGACTTAGAAACAGAATCAATGTCAAATTTGTTGTACTGTTGAGATGTCATACATTGCATAATATTTGTGCATTGTCTTCTAGAATTAATGCCAGCCAACCCAGGAGATATGTTTCAGTGGATGCCAAAAGAACATATGTGTGTTTTGGTTTATTTGGTAAGTTCTTACTTTAGTTAACATATTATAAGGGAAAAAATATATGTTTTGAATGTAAGGTCATTATATTAAGATTAGTCTTAGTTTTTTGTAATGTTTTTCACATACATAATTTTAATGGTTGAAAAAAAACTCATTTATTTGTTTTGATCAAATTAGTATGTTCTGTTTGTATTAGAGTAGCGGTCAGATCAAATTTGTATGAATTTAAGCACTTAGAAACAATCCACCTTGCCTTTTTGGCTTATTGTGATTATTGTTGAAAGATTAAAGTTTTGGGAACTTGTATTTAAACTATGAACCTTTTTGCATGAAAGCTCTAAGATTAATTTTTACTTTACAAGATAACTTTTTTTTTCTTTTGCATGATTAAATTGACTTACAGCACTTTGTGAAATTTTAGAAACAATCAGCACAGAGGTAAAGTCATCAATGGACTGGTATAACTTTAAAATATCCATATGTTTACAAACTAGTTTTAGTGATTGCATGTAGAGTATAACTAAAATGTAGTATTATCCTAGCTGCTGGAGCATTTATAGTCTCTGTAAAACAAATCAAAAAATTTATATCAATAATGTAGAATCCATACACTTCAAGTTACTCACTTGTTAAACCTTGATCATTACACCTGCACATTCTTGCTCAGGTGAGGCTAGTTCTGAATGGTCATTTCAAGTGATATTTGTTTGATATATATATATATATGTATACACAGCGTGATCACAAGTAAATAGACACCACCTTTTCAGAAACAATGAAATTTTTTAGTCATATTCACATGAACTGATATATTTATAATTTAATTAATATCTAGTAGATCTTCCTTTCGCTTCATGGAGTTCGTTGATCCTTTGCGGCATCGTGAGAATCATCTCGTCAATTTTAG